GGATTTTTTGATTTTTACAGGGAATATGTGTATTACAGAGATAAAATTTTTTGAAATACAGGGATTTTAACAAATGTTGAGGAAATTTCTACTTGCCCAAGCCTTTTGCTTATAACTTCTCATCCGAAAAAGATAGAGGTTTCAAATGAACAGTTTCCAAAAGGGCTGTGAAAGGGCTTCAAAGCAACATATTACTTTGCACTATACCTGCTTTCCGAATACCAAACATCGAACTTTAGAAAAACACCAATATTTTCCATCTTGTTTTTTTTTAATTTTCTTCATTCCCACAAGTGGGTGTGAAAGTTTTAGAAACTTTAAATTTTTAACAAAAGCGACATTCCGGGATGTCGTTAAGTAATATATGGAGTAGAAAGGATAAAAATTTATTGCCCTTTCGATAACATACCCAAATAAGAAATTAATATATAATTTTAATAAAAAAATATAAATAAAGTTGTGGTAATAATTGTTTTACAGTCATTTCTTACAGAAAAATTAAATATTAAATTAATTACATAGATATCATCAATTTTATATGTACAAAAAGAAATGGTAGTTTGTACGTTTTCATGTATGCTGTTTCATGCTCCTCGAATTATTAGACAATTGGCGTTTGTACACATGTAGCGGTCTTTATGGGGAAATTAAATCTTAATTAGAGATAAAATAAGTCTTTAAAAATTTTTAAAAAACTATCTAGAATAATTTTTTATTATTTAATATTAGTTTAATTAAAATAGTTTATATATAATTAAACGGAGTTACATAATAATATTGAATTGACAAATAATTGTAGTGATACTCGTATTTTTGTATAGAGTTTACGCTTTTGCGGAGTGAATTATATTTGATTTGCATTTTACTCGGTTCAGAAATAAGTTTTGTTCTAAAACTGCAAATTTTATTTTAATTTTATTAATAATTTTAATTTAAAGATGAATTAATTGTTTTTCTTTTCGAAAAAATTGATAATAAATGATATTTCGAAAAAATTTCCAAGTATTAATTGTTTTGTATAATTTTCGTGTCTTTAAAAAAAGGACGTTAAAGCATTTATGTGCACTAAAATATTTAAGTATTTATACTACTAAACTGTTTAAATTATAACAAACTTTTTGTAACTATTAATTTTACTAAAAAGAGTGAATTATACTTAAGCGGGTAAGTAAATAAAAATAAAATTTAGGGTATAAAATCACTGAAATAAGATGTTTCAAGAATTTCTTTTTGTACCATCAATCTGAAATCATTTTTAGGAGTTTCGGTTAATGAAACCGAAAAATAACAAAGATTCCAAAAGATTTTTTTTTTAAATATTTGGTTTATTTTTAATGTTTTATTTACAAATTTTTCAACTTATTCAAATATATTTTGTTTTATTTGTAGAATTTTACTTTTTGTATACAATTTTTACTATTAATTTTTATTTGAAAATTTTTATTTTATTCATAATTTGTTTAACACACAATTTTTACCATTAAATCTAAAAAATTAATTTAATTGCTTTACACATCTTACATTCAAATTTGCTTGAAAAAAATTCATATTTCGAAAATTAATTCAATTACAATTAAAAATTTATCAATCTACAATCTTCCGTGATTTAATTAATGTTATTTATATTAATTAATTAATTAATTAATTGTTACTATGTTTTCGAGATTCCTAAAATATTTGAAATATGTTCTCTTAATTAAAAAAAAAACATGAAGAATTTAATAAGTGACAATTTGTAGGTGTTGTATTTTCATTTATATACAAAATTATACAGGTTTTACTATAATTTATACAATTTTTAATAAAAAATTTTATATATTTTTAATTTATAAATAAATAAAATTTATTAAAAATACATTTTTGTTTAAACTTTCCAAATAAGTACAAAAACACATAATAATAATCGTGTGAATTAACGATGTGGGTGAGAAATAAAAAAATAAAATCAAAGAACATTATAGCTTGTTTTCATTACTTGATCTATGAATAAAATTAATTTAATTATCTGGCAAATGCTGTTACATTATTATGAAATCTTTATAAGGAAAAAAAAAACAAAGATCATATTGAAAATTTCCTTTTTATATGTGTTTTCTGTTTTTCTTACATAGCACCGTATTCAGCACAATATTACACTGGTATTGCGTTAATATGATGACAATCACATTTTTATTCGTATTAAACTAAGTACAAAAATGATTTGGCTAAATTGCATATAAAATTTATAATGTTAAAATATATTCAGTATTGAAAAAACTTTTTCATAAGTAATTGTAATTAATTCATAGGCATAATGTAATTGATATGACAAAGTTCTTCCAACTAAAGCGGATTTTACTCCAAGCCAAAATTTATAATTTAGTCAGACATACGTGCAGTAAAAGATATCAAATAATTTAGTGCTAGAATCAAAAATTTCAATTATTGTGTTTGTTTCCGGAAACTTAAGACTGTAATATTTTTAGATTCATTTACAACTGCGGGAGACTAATCTGCAGTAGCAAAATTGTTTTAACAAATTTCAACCAAAATTGTGTTTCAAAGCACTATTCTATTACAAAATTGAAGTAGTTGTGTATTTTTGAGAAATTACAATAGAATTTTGTAAGTTTTAATTTTAAATATTCTAATCATTAACCACTTCTATAAGTTAGAATTGCATTTTCAAAAATAAAGCCCCATTTATTGGGTAAATTTAAATTTAATTCACACAAGTATAGAAAATTTTCGTCGATCACGTCGATCACGTAACTTGCAAGAAATAAAGCATAATATTACATAACAATATTATAAAAACTATAGGATCTACTATTTTATTTATTTTACTATTGAAATTTCAATTTAAATTAATATACAAGAAAATTACCTTTAATATTAAAATATTTTAATGCATAAATAAATTCGAAATTAAATATTTTATTCTACAGTTAAAATCAAAAAGGATATACTCACACTTGCATATTACACATATTAATTATAAAGAATGTACAAACCTATTCTGCTTAAAATATTTTTTATATTTCAAACTTACATAATAATTATAATTTATTAATATAAATTATTTTTTGTATTGATATTTTATTTTTCTGCTTTTTTTTTTTTTTTGCATTTTGACAACCCATTTCGTTATTTTTTTAATTCAATTATTTTTCATTAAGTTTTTATTAATACTTTGGTCTTAATTTAATACAACTAATTAGACCATGTGACAAATTTTTTCTAACATAGTTTTAAATTTTTAAAGAATTTTGAATATCCTTTTTATTTATGTTGGTCCAAATTATAAATTTCTTTTTGAATATTGTCACATGGTGTCCTCCATTTACACAGAAATATTTATAATTATATTTTTGTAATGAACTGAATAAAACATAAAACTATTTTTGATTAATTTATTTCAATACAAACTAATTACATAGGAACACATTTATTATAACAATTTTAAAATCAATTTTAATTGAAGATGTAAAAATCAAGCATTTAAAATCTTTATTATTTCATTAAAAAAATAATTTTTATTTAATAATAATTTGAGAAATCAATCGAATAAGAATGAAATCATTTTTTTTTTTGAAAAATTAAGAGCTCGTTTTAATTGGCATCTATGGACATAGTTGTTTAAAAAATTTTAAAAATTTTTATGCCGTTAATTAATTTTACAGAATGGGTTAAGCTGCTGTTTTATAATTTATTAACGCGTAAAATTATATTTATATAGTCTAAATTAAATGCTTTTTATTTAATTGCTTTTAGTACTTTTCCAATAAACTTGAAAAAAGAGCTGTCGCCTATTGAAAAAACTTCTACATCGTTTAAAATATATGAAATTTTGTACACAAATATGTGGATACTTACTAGAAATTAATTTTTGACAACTCCGCCACCTATAAAAGTTGTGAGTTCTCAAAAACATCAAAATATCGTTTTGTGACAATTTATATTATAAAATATTTCTGAAAACGCAGAAAAGTAACTACTTGACTCTAGAGCTACTTTATAGTAGGAAATAATAAATTCAAACATTACAATTATAAAATGGCCGCTGAAATAATTGACAATAATAAGGTCAAATAGTTTACAATTGGTACATAACTTATTTTGTTAGAAGAACACTTGTTTGAAAGCAAAACACTTTTGAGAAAAAAATAGAGCTGACCGTGTCAACTCTGTGATACCCGTACGAATTTGCTATTTATGTGCGAATAAATATGTCATAGCTGACTATAGCACAAACTATAACTTTAAGTTTATTAATTTAAGCAAAATTTCAGTATTTTCTAAGATATAGCCAAACTAATATTGAAGTTGTATGGCAGCTATCAGAAAAAGCGAAGCAATTTCAATTTTATCAAACACATTGGCCCTACTAATATATTCGCTTGTATGAAATTTCAATACCACAGCTTTTATAGTTTCCAAATAAACCAAATAAATTTTGAAGTTGTATGGCAGCTACCCAAACCAGTGGCCCGATCATATCCAATTTAAATAGGGTTCTGGCATTTACTATAATAAATCATTCGTGAAAATTTGTTGAACTTAGATTAGTTTTTGAGTTATCGTTGGAACGGACGGACGGACAAAGGAAGGACAGAGAAAGCTAAATCGACTCAGAATTTGACGCTGATCAAAAACATTACAAACGGTGAGGCAAATTTTTTATACCCTTCAAACATACCTTCGTACAGGTATAAAAAGTGCTTATTAGTTTCACTTTGTCCGTATCCGTCCGTGGACGTGTTTACAAAACTTCTACATCCTTGAAGTTAGAAAGCTGAAATTTTATGTGTACATCTTTATTAGAAACTGATTTCCGTAATTTTAGCCTATCTCCCCCCCCCCCCCCCCGCAAGTTTATCATAAAAATTTGAATTGTCCAAATCTCTATAAAAACAAAAAGCTAACTGTAAATTTCCTAGCGCCACCAAATATAGTCATTTGTCTTAATTCACATAATTTACCATTTAATTATGTATTATATATACATAGCTTCATTATTTTTAAAAAAATTTTTCTAATGTAAAATGGAGTTGTTATTTCTGTTACACTGAGAGACTTTTTAAGCGTATAGTTTTTAAATTGAAACGAAAACATAGAAAAATTATGGGTTGGATTATGTTTCAATTGTTGTAATTTATTTTTTAAATACAGTTTCGTGTACATATGGAAAAGTTAGTCTCGATTCTACAAAATTAAAAGGAATGAAAAATATGAAAGACTCTAATGTAATAGTTCAATTTAAATCCTTGAAAACAATTATTCTCACCATTTTTGTAGCTTATTAAGTTTTTCTCTCATTTTAACTTAAAATTTCATTTTTATTCGATAAATTTTCTAAATTTTGATTTATTTTCAATATAAAAGCTAAAATATTTTAATCGTATACTTAAGAATGTATCGTTTATTTTATATTGATAATTAAAAAATAAAACAAGTAATCTATTTTAGTAAATCTAATTAGGATAATGAAACATTGCACTACAGTTGTGGAATTGAAAAATTAAATTATATGTACATAATATGCTTACATATTTACTTGAATTTACGTATATAAGTGATGATTATAATATTAAAACATTTATACAAAAACTATATTAAATATTTTATGGGTACCGATGATAGAATTGTTTGTTTTGTTAGCTGCTACTGCTGTCTGTTGTCATGTTTAGTTAATTGCAAAGGTATTCTATTATTGTGACTACAATTGGTTTCGTCTTCATCTGATTGAACATTTATTTCTTCTTCATCAGAATCTGCATAATCATTATTATTTCTGCTATTATCATCGTAGTTTTCATTATTTTTATTACATTCATTATCTTGTGTGTTTCTATTATGCATTGTTGCAACAGCAACAGAAGCCGCTGCATATTGTCTAGCTAAATCTAAAGCAAATGCTGCGGCCGATGACGGATTAACTATCGAACGAAAAGCGCTATGTTCACCTCCCATTAATAATGGAGTTGATGCTGTGACTGATGACGTCACGTTTTCCGGCACCTCCACCCTCTTCATTTTTACTACCTTGTCTTCCTGCGGCACTAGAGGCAAGTGATGCAGATGATGGAATTGTTGTGGTGAGTCCTTTTGTTGTTGTTCTGATTTCTGATTTATTACACAATTGTGTTGTGGAACTATCATTTGTGCAATTGAAAGTTGATTCTGAATTGGTGTTGGATCCTTTTTCTGTGACGACAGGTTTTCCAATTGACGCGAATTTTCTGATGTCACTTCCGTTAATGCTGTTTCCACCGTTGTCAATTGAGTGGTTTTGCTTTCTATCGTCGTCGCTTGAGATGTTTGATTGTTGTTGGTCGAATTTCGAGCTGCTGCAATCGCTGCCGCTGCTGCTGCTACAACTAAAGATTGTTGATGCTGCTGTGGAATTTGTGAATGATGTGTCAAATGAGGTGGTATAGCTACTGTTCTGGATTGTGAGTGTGAATTGATGTTGGCTGAATTTATTGTTACTGATTGACTGTTTTGATTGTTGTTGTTTGATGTATGGATGAAATTTTCTCGCTGTTGACTGTCGCCCTTGAAACTGCTGGAGATTAAAGCTAGATTGATGCTGTTGTTGATGTTCAGATTGGATGATATTGCTTGATTGCTGAGTTCCTGAGTGCATTGTTGTAACATTCCATGTTTTGTGATTGGGCTGATAATTATGGGAGATTGAACCGAACATAAAGTTGAGCTGCTGTGAAGACTGTTGGGTGTTGTGTTGGGAGTACTTGTGTTGGTGGGGGTGATTGGCGGTGAGTGAGGTGATGCCCGCATGGACTGATGTTGTTGATGCTGTTGTGCCGGACTTCCCCGCTGCTTCAGTAAGTTCATACGTTGATGGCGTCGCCATTTCGCTCGTCTGTTGGAAAACCAAACCTGAATTGATCAATGCGAAGAGATCTATCGTTAGTGTATAAAAAAGAATTTTTACGGATTTTTGATTTCATTCGAATAGGGAAACGGTTGACTTTTAGTCAAATTTTATGTATTTGAGGAGAAAATAAGATATTTTGAATGAAATTAAAATAAATCATTTTGAAGTTGCATTAAAGTTAATATTTGTATTGCATGATCATTCTCCTCGAAAAGTGTTACAATTAATTATACTGGAGAAACTTCACTTTTTGTATTTACAGTAAGATTAAGAGCTTAGTAGCAAATAGATAAAACACTTCGTTCTTAAGGCAGTTATTAATAAAGATTTTAGAGTAGTCTGAAAAAAAAATTAAATTTCTTACTAACCTGTACTCTAGCTTCACTAAGTGAAGTTCGTGAAGCTAAACGTTCTCTTGTACTAACGCATGGATAATGTGATTTATCAAACTCCTTTTCTAATTCTTCAAGTTGTTCTGGACTAAAAGTAGTTCGATTACGGCGAAATTTTGGTTGTTCACCATCAAGTGACTCACAGTCCTCGCCCTCAACGTCTGTGGGGAAAATAATAATAATTTTTTATATACAATACAAGAATTTATTAAATTAAAAACTTATATATTACCTATTAATCTATCCCCATGGGGAGAACCTAGTGTATCATGACTTCCAGAACCAGGTGAAGTTGATGGTCCTATTGAATCACCTCTTGAACTAGATGAAATACCCGACAAGGCAGAGCTTGGTGACCATAAATGTGCTGTTGCAGCTGGATTTGGTGGCCACGGAAATCCTGTGTATGGATGTGGTGGATACAAACCATAACCAGCTGCACGAGCAAATTCAGCGGCAGCTCTTTCTGCAGCACGATTTCTTAAAATTCTATTAATTGAAGAAACTGACGGTGCTGTAGCATTCGTACAAACTCCTATTTATCGCAAAATAAATTAAATATATTTTTACTTTAATTATAAAATTATAATAATATAAAAATAAATAAAAAAAGGCAGCTTATATCTTTAAAAGAATGATAAATAATTATTGTTATTTTTACAGTAACCAAAAATGGCTAATTAAATTTGAATCAATGTTATTAAAATAGCAAAATAAAATTAAAATTTGTGACATATGTACTTCTATAATAAGTAACCGCCAGTTTCTGTATTCAATAAAGTATTTATGCAATTTATTGAGCCTTAATTGGTGCTCTGGACTTAAACTTTATTGCATTAATATTAGTAAAATATAATGTTAGAAAAATCTATGATAGTTAAATTAGGAATATATCTTTTTCGAGTGATTGAATTCATTAAAAGTAATCAATGTTTTGAAATGTTGGATACTAGTTTTGCTATTCAGTTGAATTGGTTTGTCCCGATTGTTATTAAAATTATGGTACGAAAATTACGCTTTAATGTAAATATAATACCTACATACATAAAAAATAGTGGATACTTTTCTTCGTTTTAGGTATCTTGTTATCATATTTAATTTGATGTTTAATTGAATAAAACATTAAATTAAATTGTATTCTACAAATAATATTTCTACTCATCAAATAAATCGTAATAAAAAATCAAAGTAAAAAACAGTTCAGAATTTCAACATTTGGGAAAAAAGAGGAAGTTACAACAAGTCACAAGACAAGATGTAAAAATAATTTAACATGAATATGGTAAATATAAATTAGTAAGTTTTAAACTTATCAATTTGGTTGAGTTAATATTGATTTATACTATTCTTATACATACTTATCTTGTTCAAAACAATTTTCATTAAGAGTTAAATAATCTAAAAGCTTTGGACGACTGTTATTTTAAAAATTTAAATATGTATAAAAAAGAACATAACATAAAAATATATGAGTTTTTCTGACTGAAAGATACATATATATATTATGTTCAAACAGCCGGGAAGTTATATAAGTTGCTAAAAATGTATAAAATTTTAATAGTAACACCGTCGGAAAAAAATCATTTTTCAATAAAAATTTCTTTAGTTATGTAAAAAATTTGAACGGATTAAAATTTGATTCGGAGCAGAGAGCATACAATAACCTTGTTCATACACTTATACAAGTTTGTGTTCCTATGTATATTGCATTGCAACTAAATATGGCTTTAGAATTAATTTCAATATACTCTAGATAAACGGCAGTGAATAAGACAATTTTCAAATGTAAATAGTACAAAAGGTGGAGCAAAAACGAAGTATAGTCATGACAATATTGGAATGCGACTTGTATCTTTTCTCTCATTTAATATTTTTTTCACATATGTACATACATTTCCACATAATGTAGTTACCATGCCGCTGTTGCTTCTGCCACTTCTGTTGTTATTGTTATTATTATTATTATGTTGTTTGGTAATTTTCTCAAATTGCGGCATATCTTCACGTTGATGTTTTCTTTCTAATTTATACTTTACTTTTTCAGGATTTTTTTGTCTTTTGTTTTTCTTTTTTTGTGGTAAACTTATGTGACAAACTGACAACATTCAATTTAAAGCAAAATGAGGAGAAAAAATAAATGGAAAATAAAAATATGTTGTTGAAAAAGAACAAAAAAAATTAAAAATACGTTAAGAATAACAACTAATGAAAAACTTCGAAATCTTTTTTATTGTAAGTCAATAAATGTGTAAAATAAGAATAAAAAACAAAAAAAAAACAGCAAAAATCATAATATGCAATAAAATATGTGGCCATTATTGGTTTTATTACTCGGCCATTATGTCATCAAATTGTTGAAGTTAAGTGTAAATGAAAATAATAAAAATTAAATTATGTGAAGACAAAACAGTTGCAAGTAAGCCCTTTTTTATAAATCTCTACATATACAAAATTGAGTGAGCTGCTCGCTTGTTTTCTTTACACATCTTTCTTCTTTAATGTTTCAGACTACATGTATGTGTGTGCGCATATAAATATATTTTATGAGTTAATGAGCGACTATGAAGATATTGAAATATCTACATGCATATGTATATAAAAATAATTTTGAACGAGTACATAAAACTCGGCTAATGCCAAAACCTACACATAAGCAAGTTAATAGATATACGTATGTTTGTATGCATATGTAAAATTTATGTGTGAAACGAAATAAAATTTTTGAAATATTTTTAATACGAAAGATTTATGAGTAAATCGTGTTTAAGTGATTGAAAATAATTATAAATAATCGAAAAAAAGTCTCACCAACTTAATGATGTTGGCGTAACCATACAAATATACATGTATATTGGCATTTATTAGGATATAAGAAGTCATCCAGTGAGAAAAATTATGACTTATATTTGCAGGTAATTCTTTTATTTATAAAATTTATATTAAGGGTGCTTTTACGACCAATAACCACTATTATCATTTACATTAGTGCTTTTAATGTTAAATTACACAAATTAAAAATTAAAGATCCTACTCCCTGTCACTAGAAATATTCAAATAGCTTTTCCTAATACATTTATTTCGTAATACGTTGAATTATAAAATTTAAATTAACACTAAGAAAACAGAAATTATTGATCTTAAAATTATGTGTTCAGATTTTTGCTTAAAGCTTTTTGTTTTGCTTGCTCCCGTTTTCTTGTTGTTTACCTGAAATTTTTCGTTTTTGGTATAGTAAAGTGAGCTTTTTTAAAGATGACCTTTCCCTTTTAAAAGATTTCGATTTTATACCAAATATTTATTCATAATTTGTTGTTTCTTGTATCGAATAATCACATATCTTTCTCACCTTTTTCCTCTTAAAGTATTCGATATTCCTCATAACGAATAGATTCTTGCTAAGCAATTAAATTTTAACAGTTGAAAATGTGTTTTTAACGGAGTAGAATAAAATCAATATCCTTTGTGATTTACACTTAGCTTTTTGCTTTTCTAAATCACCAATGTTTTTATATAACAATAAAATCAAAATTCTTGATTATCTGCCCATTGTTGCACTGTTCTATTGTGGAATGCATAATATTGCTGAGATTGGGATTGTAATAATACTGTATTAATGCAGATTTAGATAATTCAGCTTATAAATGTTAATTGTTGAATGTTAATTATTGTGTATTGATGTTAGGCTATATTTATAATTCCGATGTCAGGGCATATTTTGCCTTACTCAATCATATTAGTTCTTTGCACATAACTATTAAACTTTATAAACTTTCGTTTTACTAATTTACAGGCTAATATTTTATTAAACTTTTTCTAATCAAACAATCTAGAATTTTTAATCTAGAAAATAAGAGAATCAAATAATAAAGAGTACTATAGGAATTTCCTCGTCCTTGGTTTAGAATAGCGTTTATTTTTTTTTGATTATTGCTGGACCAAATAAATTTTGTGTATTTCCTATAAACTTTAAAGAAAACTTTTATATTTATTTCATATGCAAAATAACACATACATATTCATATATGCATATAAAATACGTGCATGTCACAAATCTGAAAGTAACAGTAATTATACTAAAATTCTTACCATCATTTTTATTTTCTTATTTACTTAATTAAAAAAGTAAATTAAAAAAGCAATAAAAAATACAATAATGGAAAAAAAGCAATCATAAAAACATCAATTGCGCAATTTTAAAGCTAAACCACATTTAATGCTTATGGTGATGTGCTTCCATATTTGATTTCAATTTGCTGATTCAATTAGTTGAAAGGGTAACCATCACAATTAAGTACATGTGCAAATGCATTCAAATACTTACTCATGTATGCATGATTACATCATAACTTGAAATATTTATACAAACACATGTCAGATTTCTTGTATGTATTTGCTAGTTTGCAACCATAGGGGTGAATTATCCAATAATTTATAATTACAGTGAACATTTACATTACTATCTACATATTTATTTTTTATTCATTAACTGTCGAAAGTTATACATATATGCATATATATAATGAAATATATGTATATACATATATGTATAGAGAAGTACTTTTTACTTAGTTAAAAATTAAAGGGAGCACGAGTGGAAAAATAAGAGAATACTCTCATATTTTATTATTGTCACTCATTATTAAAACAAGAAATTATTTAATTATTAAAAAAAAAATTGTAGTTAAATTGAACACCAACCCATATGCACATACCCAAACACATTTACAGTTTTTTACTTATATGCAAATATAGATGTATGTAAATATTGGTTAATAACTTGTAACTGAATTTACATATTTAGAAACTGTATCCATACAACCCGTAATAATGTCACTCTGTTTTTGTTGTTAAAATTGTTGCACAACCTTACTTATAATATCTCAGTGGAAATGAACAGGAGTAATAAGTGAAAAAAGAAGATGGAAAATTGAATGTGTTCAGTTCGTTTAGAAATATGATATTTTTTTTATTAATGGAATCGAATAGACAGACCTTTTAGCATAATATAAATATTCATACATTTTTTGTTTTACTAAATTACAAGTAGTGCAGTATAATAGAATTTAGATGGTATTTTTGAGTCACTAGGAATTTTATTTTTTTTCATTTACTAATCTACAGATTTTAAAATAGATTTAATTGAAAAGGTGTGACAAAAAATGTTTCTTTGTTAAATTGAACGTAGGACAAATTTTTTAATTTTTAAGTTTTATCACCTAGTGTACATTTACATATAAATTCTTTGATTATAATTGGTATGATTGTGTGTAAATGTGGTAGTTTTTTGAATTAAATATTTATACTAGTCGTATGTATACATAAATTTATTTTCACAATATGTCATTCATCACAATTATATTAACATACATATGTACATGAACATTTTGTAAGTATATAAAATAATAAAATTACTTTTATATAAATTTCATTTTTAAAAAAAATACATTTGATTGCTAGTTAGCTCATGGTTTTTGAAAAAAAAAATTAAAAACGACCAGCCATGATTGAATAATTATAGGGTTTCATGTTTATAAT